CCACACACTCGCGCCCCCACACACACGCGCCCTCACACACGCGCGCGCCCCCCCACACACACGCGCCCTCACACACACGCCTACACATACGCCCACCCATACACACACATATTTCTTCTGCACTGAAAATTCAGATATTATAAAAAAGAAATAATTCATATGAATTAAAAGAAATAAATATAAATGTTTATTTGGAAAGAAATAAAAATTAATTTTCTTATAAAGAGAAAGTGAAAATAATGTATCATTAAAAAATACTAAACAGGTACTTTATTGCAATCAAGTTTTACTTGAAAGATAGATTTAAAAAATATCATGAGATCTAATAAAAAAACACACAGTTCTTGTTTTACTTTTTCACTTGTGATTTGATATATTTAAAATGTTCTCCTCTAAAATATTGAAGTTTCATTTGCACTTTATTACACATTTCACTCACAAACAAATGATGCAATGTCTATTTTCAACAGTTTTCTGTATGATGCTAAAATTTGATTGATCTCTGGTGAGAACTATAAATTATATAATGGACATGTTTTCTTTACATCTTATTGTTCTTTATATTTTTTATTCTTCTTGCCAAGAATTTTTAACAAATTCTTTGACATGTAATATGGTTTTTCAACAGAGCCATCATTACGTTCCAAATCTTCCACTGAAACAGAAAAAAATAATAAAATGTAATTCATGCCCAAAAATATATAATATAATTAAAACTGTTAAACTGAAAACAAAGCAGTTTGCCAATTTTGAATGGAGAAAAGTATTAAAACAAAACGTATTCAATTCACAAATTGTTATTTCAATAGAATGTATATAGAAAACATGTTCAATACTATCAAACAGCATCTCTACTTTTCCATGTTTTTCTCATTAAAATGACATTATTTACATTATTTTTGAGTTTCACAGAATTAAATGATAAAAGAACAAAATAGGAAAATTTAGATCATGGGATTTGGAAGGAGTGAATTAAGACATTAAAACATGTTTTGATTGAAACATTTGTTTTTTAAGCAGGGATAAATATTTCAGGCAAAATAAGAAACAAAAACATGTGTGCTAATTGATGACTCAAAATGGCAAAAGTGGTAAAAATAATAGAGTAATTCAATGTTTTAAAACTTCTTGATACATATATTATGATTTAATCATATGCATGTTCTTAATCAGTTTGAAATAAATTCAGTGATTTTCATTTTACTTTCTCGATATTTTAAAAAAGATGCTCATTTCAAAAACAAAAAACAACAAATCACCTAAGGCTTTTCACACAACTTTCCAGAGTTTTATTTAAATTTTCACTGTTGCTTTTCATAAACAGAATTTTAGAAGTACATTTAGGAGATTCTTTATCTAATATATTTAGATTTTTATAGTAGTGCAATATTATAGAAATACTTACAAAAACAGAGAAATATTGTGTCAACAGCCATATGATACACTGAAAAAAATATACATGTAACAAAGTAAGTGCCAATGCCAACTATTATAACTGGCAACAGGTAATATGTATATTCTGGATATTCATCATCTTCATTAACTTTCACATCATTGCTAAAAATGTAGAATGCAAGGGCCACCATTCCTCCAGTTATCAGTAATTTTCCTAGCAAGAGGAGGAAGTCTGTAACCTAAAACAAAGCAGAAGAAAACAATAAGCAAATGAAGAAATTTAATGATATCACTATTAGAAAATTCACGTAAGGTCATAAAATATTCTAATTTTTACAAATCATTCTTAAAACCCTTTTTTTTGCAAACAAATGCATAAGAAGAATTTATGCGTTTGGTATTCTGATCTCAATGAACTGTGAAATGTGACAAGAGAACCCCATCCAGAAAATAAACCAATGATTTTAAAACTGCTATTTTTATTCTAAGCCTCTGGGCATAGAATATATAATAATATAAAGGTCCTGAAATCTTTTCAAGTGTAGGCATTGATGACCCTGAGGCAAACTTACAGGTGTACATATTAAGTTAATATTATTACTACAAAGCTAATAATATTTTTTTGAGCAACAGAAATAGTAGCGAAAGCTACTCTGATATCTTTTTTTAACTCAAAAATGAAACTGACAATTACATATAGTACATGAAATGAAAAGAGAATTCTTATTTAAAGGAAAAAAATTCTAGTTGTTACTTGAGTAATAATTTTGTTGATTACATGATAATTGAAATTACTTTCAATACAAATGTATGTATATTTCTTTTCTTTAGATTTAATTTTCTTTCATATTCTTAAAACTACATTAATATTTTAATAATATTGGTTTTAAGCAATGTTCTCAAAGAAATTCATATGAAGCAGACTCACTTTATCCACAACAAACACTCGAATAATGTTTCTCATTACAAGGTTAAAACCTTTACGAGCAGAACGACAAAAGTTTTTGCCATGAATTGCACACATTATGTATGCATTTCTATTGATAAATTTTATAAATTTTTCCAAGCACCAAAAGAAGCATTTGAAACAACACATGACACATTTTACAAATCCATTATCATATTTTCTTAAATGTGCATCTATGTATTCGAGAGTTACTCGAATTAAGCGACATATTGCCAAAATTAATGATCCAAAGGCTAGAGTTCCAATGTGGTATCTGAAAAAATAAATACATATTTTACTTTATAAAATGTTTTCAACAACTAAAAAAAACTCATAACATCAAGTTATGGTAGTGAGGTAATTGCTAGGTCAACAGAAACTTTTATTACTCACCGCAATGTTCTTCCAATGCTCCAAGTTAAAGCAAGAAAAGGTACATCTGATTTTTTAAAAGTCCAATACCATGTGGAGAATGTGCCGGCTAGAGCCATATCACTAAATGCAGATATGAAACATAAAACCCAGAAAAATCCAATAATGTTAATTGCATGGAAATAATCAGAATATGATCGGCCTTCATATGTTTTAAATGCACAAGCAACTTCTGGACATATTTCCAAGGCTGATTGGCATTTCTCATTAAACTCTTGTACTTCACACCTGTCACCTGTCTGAAAAAGTTTAAAAAATGTGGCATTTCAAAATAAAATTAAAAGAAATATTGCTAACATACCATTTCATTAGGGTTTGTTTTATATTTCTTTAATTGAAGTTTTTCATGATTAAAATTTACTTAATATAAATTTATAACTTTAAAGGAACTTGAAAGTGTGATCTAAAATGAATCTTCCTAACTGAAAATTTGAACTTTTCTGTGGCTGATATTTATTAAAAAAGTGTTTATATATTGAAATTTTGTATTGCAAATAGACTATTTATAATCTTTCTCAAATTTATAAGTTATTGAAAAATACCTTTTGAGTCCATATTAATTTCAACATTCCAAAATTAAATTCTGAAGAGCATTATTAGGTCATGTAACTAATAGTTTTGACCTTCTTATACAAAAGTTTTACTTACTGAATAAAATTGGCACGAGCAGCCTCCTGTCTCTGCCAAACCTCTAGCGCGATAAACAGGCATTGCAGAGGAAAATATATAAAGCCACACTGCAATTGTCCATGCAATAACACCCATTTGCAGTATCCAGGGTACCAACGGAAAAAATAATGTACTCATTATACTTCCAACGGCTCTGAAAAATAAATTATGAAAACAAAAACTTGTGAAATTTAATATTGTATTAATGTACTAAGTGGTATTAGTGTACTAAAGGAAATTAGTGTTAGGAACAAACTTTTGTGTGTTACAAATCGGTAGTGCTGCCGTAGTGCCCTCATATTGTTGGACTCCGTGTTACGTGTGGTAGCTCTCAGTCCTATGTTGTCAAGAGGTCTAGAGGTACTTGCTAATGTAATGATCTGAGCTCATTGTATTCCGAGCGGAACGATGGAAACGAACAAAGGTTATGGGCCGGCCTAGGAGCATGTGTTATAAGGTTAAACGCTGTGATTTATGTGAATGCTAACACGAGAAATCCACGAGTGGAAACAGTGCAAGTAGAAGCTCACGAAGTGCTTCATCACATGTATGAGTAATTGGCCGAAACGAGTCCCAAAAGTCTGAGAGAAACAACTCGAGATGGCTGAGCATAGAACGACAGCGATCGGCAAACTTCATGGCGCAAACTATTCGGCGTGGAGTTATCAAATTAAAATGGTTCCGATGGAGAGCGACTTGTGGATCGTATTCGAACCCCAGGCGCGGATCCACGGGGAGGGAAAGGAGGGAAATGTCCCCCCTAATTTTTCTGAATAGATAGCTTTAATTATTATTAAGTGTTAATTATTATACAAGTATTAAGTTTAGTATTAATTTTAACTTGTCAGGAGACTTTCAAGCAAACATTACTTGGGATTATCTTTAAAACGAATAAAATCGTGTCGCAGCATGAGCGGAGTGTAGCCTGCGACATTTTACAAAATCTGTTATATGATTTATTCGACGAAAACATTTTGGATTTCCCCTCCCAAAATTCGGGTCTGGATCCGCGCTTGAGAACCCGGCGAAGATGATTCCGCCGATAATGCAAGGGCGGACAAAAAGCGTGAATATTTATCAAGACGGGGAAAAGGCGTACACGAATATTGCCTTTGCCATATTCGACAAGCAGCAGGTTCGACACCAGGAATCCTCAAGGGAAGCGTGGGAAGAGTTGTAACGGCTGTTCGTAGCACGGGACAGTAAGTTTCGTACTGCGCAACTCCGTTGTGATACTCGCAGAAACTGAGTGAATGAAGTTCGAGAAGCGTTCTTGAGGCAAGTGAACAAAACGGTAGCCAAGCTGGCAAGTGTTAGCGATTTTATTGACGAAGGCGATGGCTTGCCGTGTCCATCTTGTGTGGGATAACGGAACTGGTTCACGTGACCTCAGCGTTGTGCATCTACCGCAAGCCGATTTTGACAGTTCAACGATAAAAAGAACACTCATTGCCGATGATGCAAGACAGCAACCATGCTGGCGATTATGCTAGGTGTATAAAATTCAGAAATAACCCCTTTACTTCTGCAAATATGACTGATTCTTGGGGGTTACCGATAATGAATAGCAAAGCTGAATTGTCGACTCAGGGGAAAACCCACGAAATGATCCAAAACGAAAAGTATTTTTCGCGCATCAGATGAAATTCTACTGTTGGAAAATTTTCGACAGCGTATGGTGTAACTACACTCTCGACAGGAATTGTTACCATACTTGCATCAATAATTGGAAATTGCACGAAGTATGATAGAATGGAAGCATATAATAGCTCTACATTTTTGATGTCAGGCATTATCCATGGAATTTTGTCCATTAATGTGGTGGAAAGCGGTAAATAGTCATTTTTAACCAAGACTACTCTAGTTTATGAAATTACGAACAATCTTCTAATCCGAACGCAGAACGAAGATCGCTTATATTCTATTAAAACATAACCTGATATGAACAACACTGCAGCGAACGTAAGCGAAATAATTGAATGATAATCAACTGAAATTGGAAGCATTAAACTTATGGTGGGTAATATTCATGCATGATAGCATTAGAGGATAAAAATGGTGGACTCATCCTCTGTCACTGGTTTGCATTGTGAAGAGATAAAGCCGACTCCATATGCTGATTGTCTCGCTGGTAGCGTTGCACGTCAACTATTCTCCAACCGGCCAGCAACTTAAGTGAATGATAGTGTCATTCTGGATCTTGGCCATGCGCAACTTAAAGAGTCCAAGTAATGTTGAAAACATTTTGGGGTAACATATGTTGTGGGCATAGTGGATGATGCTAGCCGATACGTGTTCATGAGAGTTCTTAAGAGTAAAGGAGAAGCTCTGGCAGAATTTAAACACTGGAACTTACAAACTGAGAAACAGACTGATCGAAATATAAGGAAAGTCCTGATTAATAATGGTATTGAATTTTGTTCTAGGAACTGGGATTTATTCTGTTGGAGTAATGACATTGTCCATGAGAAAACCATGACATACACACCACAAAGACGTGGAGTTTAATGAAGTGAATGAAGATTAAACTGGTTTCGGATAGACATTGTGAGAACCAAAATCAACGCTAGTGACTTCCCTAAGAGTGCTTGGGGTGGACGTTTGTATATTGTATCGTGTCACCAACGGTCGTTACAACGTTTGGACACGTAGTGAATCGTGGGTCAGCAGAATACCCAACGTTTAGAATCTTCGAACTAAAAAAGGGAATGTTTTTTAGCATGCCCGAAACGAAAGCGTTCTTCAAAACTCAATGTCAGAGGGAAAAGGGTTTACTTGTGGGTACACATGGAAGGAGATTTAAAGCATGAAGTGTGCAAGCTTTACAAGTTATGGAATCACGTGACTGCACATTTAAAGAAAGATAGTCGAGCAAAATGGAAAGACCAGATCGTGGACAGTGTACAGCATCTGGAAGAAATGAAAAAGTCATCGCCTGCTATGGTGAATTAAGTCCAAAAGAAACCAGACTAGTTCCCTCACTAGATAGTCTGAACAGGACTTCAGAGATTTTTCTAATGCTGAAGATGACTTTCATAATTTGTCAGATGAAAGCGCACACGAGTTTACGGAATTTACAAACAATAGAATGAAAACCCAGATGTGAATTACCTGAATGAGGGAAATTAGCTCAGAGTAGTTCAACAACGGAAGACAGGACAACTAAGGGGCACATCGAAAACCACAAGCAGGTGTGAGAAAACGTGGCATGACACTTTGACGGAAATATTCTAGAAATTCAAGGACTTCAAACGATGTTGAGGTGCTTACGAATAGAGTACATGGTAATAGCGAAAATCTAAAGACTTTGTACAGGCTTTAGAATCTTTTAAGTTGGTTCAGTCGTTGGAAGCCATGAACGAAGAGGTTGAATTGTTTAGGAAACACAAAGCCTAGACTTCAACTGAACCACCTTCAGATGCTGCAATCTTTAATTGCATATGGGTGTTTAAACAGAAGATAGTGGGTGAGGTTCAACACTTGAAGGCACGACTAATTGTGAAAGGGTTTTGTTTTCGAAGGCGTTCATTGCGGTGAAATTCGTGTAACACTATTCAGCTTTAAACCACGAGATTACCATTTGCAGTTGGTGATGAGAAGAAATGGTTCGTGGACCAATACAATGTGAAGTTAGTTTATCTCTACAGTGATTTGAATGAAACAATATTTATGGAGCAGACAAAGGGCTTCATAAGAAAAGATGAAAAAATGTTAGTCTGTAATCTGCAGAAATAAATGTACGGCCTAAAGCAAAGAGAAAGATACTGGAATACTGCCATTTCATTCTAAATTAGAAGAAATTGCTTTTGATATCAACAAAGTTGACTATGCATTTATGAAATGAACGCAGATAATGGGAAGTTTGATTGGAAGTTTAAGTGGATGATATACTTGCGTTGGCAGAAAATCAGTCAGACTCAAAACCAAGACACATTTGGAGAGTAATTTCGAAATTAAGCATATGAGAAAGGAAGGTTTGCAGTGAAAGTTACTGATCACGGGAAAGGCAGAGTTAACGCTTCTCCGGAAAGTTTCGCAGAACGATTGCTGAAAAACGTCGGCAGTGAAAATACAAGACTTGCCAAAACTCCAATGGAAACTTCAATTCCTTGGTGAAGATGGAACTTCACTGAGATTCCTTAAGGGAATTCATTGGAGGGCTCTGATTTTCATCACAGAACATCGGACCATTTTCTTTGCAAAGGGGAAACTCTCATAATATTGATTGACGCCTGACCAAAACTACAGGAGCTCAGCAAAGACAATCCTTTGTTTCCTGGGAGATATCCAAACCTATGTTGTTTCCTATCGTTCCACCAGCCAGAAACATGCCGCATTTGTTATGCAGGCAGGGCGTATTGTACAGTTGATTGAAAGAGCGTGAATTGATATGTGCTCATACTCGCAGCTGGGTCTATCGACTCGAGAAGCATAAAACAAAGCACCATAGAGGAAGAATATGCAGCACTAGCATACTGTACAAGGGAGGTGTTTTGGGTAAGACAGGTCACGAAGTGCCTAATGCTTCAATATCTGTGATGAATAGAGCCCGGAAGTTCAGGCATTTATTTTACCAAAAAGAGACAGGCAAAAAGGCATTTATTTTTATTAAAATAGGCACCAAAAATGCATTTTTTCTAGCTAAAGTAGGAGTGTAAAGCACAGGAAAATTTGAAAATTCGTTATTTAAAAGTAATTATTGTAACAAAAAGTTGCAAGTTAAAATGATTCACATATTTATTTTAACTAAAATTTACATTATCACTTTCATGGAAATAAACTATTTTTTCTTGGCAATCTTGACTGCACGTGACCATACGATATGACGACTACAAATTAATTTCACTCATGCTGTCTCTAGGAAAAGCTAATATGGATTCCCTTTTGAATTTTGAAATGCTCTCATTTAAAAAGCAATTATAGAATTCGTTTTCCGCACTTGTGTAATCGCCACAAGGGAAGAGAGAATACGAAGGAACTGGGAAGTGTATATTATGTAAAGAGCTTTGTCCTCAAAAGGGATCTGAGACTATACTTCAACATAGAACGTTCCTCGTGAGGGAACAAATCTGTTAAAATCAATGAAAAATATCACAAATTTTCACCGGTAACATCTTCCTTTCCCTTTTAGATTTTAAACACAATCTTACACTG